GAGTCCCCACTTGAAGAAACACATAAGGAAACTGGAGAAGGTCCAGAGGTTTGCGACGAGGCTTGTCCCAGAGTTACGAGGGATGGGATATGAAGAACGTCTGAGGGAACTGAACCTTACGACACTAAAGAAAAGCAGGGAGAGAGGAGATATGATAGGAACATATAAAATACTCAGAGGAATTGACAAAGTGGTGTGACGGTAACGCGTTGGTGTTCGGCTGTTCAAAAGCTAGGGGTATGGCCTCGTCACATATAGAAACAAAAAATAGAAAATCTGGAACTTCGTCTGTGGTAAGGTAATGAGAAGACACACAAAACCACATGTAAATTTAACAATGAAATTTTAATTACGTTAGAAAAGAAAACATGAATAAAATGGACATACAAATTCGTATAATAAAATCAATCAATCAAAATAGTAAGAATAATCAAATGACAAAATGAAAAGTTACGTTGAGACAAGTGAGTAATATCAAGTGAACAATATACAATCAAATAAGAGGTGCAGGAATATTGGCTTTAAGCTATCACCTCTCTTAGTACACGTAAGCCACAGCTTAGTCTACCAACGAGACGTGTTAACCTGATGAAAGCACTGGATATTCTGAGATCTGGTGGTCGTGTGGCCCCAGACATCAAGTAGTGTGGTGGGTGGAGTGCAGTTGCAACTGGACCCGCAGCCAATCAGCGATGAGCAGGCGACAAGACAGGTAGTTTGGTGGTTCGAGGTGGAGCAGGTGTTCCTGGCTGCATACGTTTTGCGCTTCTGGCAAAACTTGGTGTTGTTGTCGTTGTTGGATATTTCTTCCATATTAGTTGTATAGGGATTTGTAGCGACGTATTTTGGAGGGAAGAGCAGGGTCAATCTCTTGAAGGAGATTATCGTCACAGTGGAAATAGACGAAATGTTCACACGGAATATTAACAGAACGAGGGGACATGGGTGGAAACTGGAAACTCAGATGAGTCACAGAGATGTTAGGAAGTTTTCTTTTAGCGTGAGAGTAGTGGGAAATGGAATGCACTTCAGGAACAGGTTGTGGAAGCAAATACTATTCATACTTTTAAAATCAGGTATGATAGGGAAATGGGACAGGAGTCATTGCTGTAAACAACCGATGGCTGGAAAGGCGGGATCCAAGAGTCAATGCTCGATCCTGCAAGCACAAATAGGTGAGTACACACACACACTACCTCTACCTACTACTTGGATCATTTTGCTAATATTGCCCAATCGTCTCCCATCACAACTGCGTTTGTGTAATGGTTGACGATTGCCTCAGCGACCTAATACCCACCTATTATTTACGATAAAGGTGTTCTCATTTCTATGGCGGCGAGTCGTGTTGCCTTCGGGTGAATGATGGGGGGGGGGGGATGTGTGAGTGTTGGTGCCGGGGGCTGACCACAACAGCCCACCGCAAACTTCCCAGCAATCAGGAAGCCAGCATAACTCCACTAGTTTTGGTGGAATTGCATTAAGGCCGCGCCAACCACCGTCAACCAGCTAACTGACCAAACGATCGACCAGTTTAGCCAGCCCTTATAGCTTGTGCCGTATGTGCTCTGTGGACAACTCTGTGCTCTGTGGACAGCTCTGTGCTCTGTGGACAGCTCTGTGCTCTGTGGACAGCTCTGTGCTCTGTGGACAGCTCTGTGCTCTGTGGACAGCTCTGTGCTCTGTAGACAGCTCTGTGCTCTGTGGACAGCTCTGTGCTCTGTGGACAGCTCTGTGCTCTGTGGACAGCTCTGTGCTCTGTGGACAGCTCTGTGCTCTGTGGACAGCTCTGTGCTCTGTGGACAGCTCTGTGCTCTGTGGACAGCTCTGTGCTCTGTGAACAGCTCTGTGCTCTGTGGACAGCTCTGTGCTGTGTGAAGAGCTCTGTGCGCTCTGTAAAAGCTGTGTTGGAAATTGTACTTTTTCTGTGGGGGAAAATGTCTCTTGTGTTATGTAAATGAGGTGCTGAAGAGCTAAGAAATTGTGTGATTGGTTGACGTTAGCTGTCTCTGCTTGTTCGCGTGTGTGGGTGTGTGCCATAGTGTGTGTGGGTGTGCCATAGTGTGTGTGGGTGTGTGCCATAGTGTGTGTGGGGTGTGCCATAGTGTGTGTGGGTGTGGGTGTGCCATAGTGTGTGTGGGTGTGGGTGTGCCATAGGTGTGTGGGTGTGGGTGTGCCATAGTGTGTGTGGGTGTGGGTGTGCCATAGTGTGTGTGGGTGTGGGTGTGCCATAGTGTGTGTGTGGGTGTGCCATAGTGTGTGTGGAATGTCATAATGTGGATTGCACATATAGTGTGTGCTGTGCTGTCATGTGCTGGGTGTATAGGGGTCGTGGGGTTTGACTCTGTTGTCTTGAAATCTTATAAACCAATAGAGTCGAGCAGAGTCCCAGAAGCGTGGAGGGCTGTAGATGTGGTGCTCGTTTTTTTGAGAAGGAAGACAGCTCTGTGACATCGAACTATCTCCCAGTCAACCTCTATAGTAGGAAAATCACTTTATTTACATCTGGAAAAAATCATTATTTTATTAAGAGCCCCTCGTGTTAAACAAATTTGCTTTGCTTCTTAGTTTGCTTCAAGCAGTTGGTAGTGGAAAGGGTTAAGATGTTATTTAACTTGACTTTTGTAAAAACTCTGAGACGTCTTCCTTGTGTAAGACACTATCAAGGTAGAGGAACATTGTATTAGGAGGGCTTCTCTACTCTCAGATACAGGGAGCATAAATGGAGTTAAGTCAGAATGGGGAAACTGTTGTAAGTGGTGTGTCCCAGGGCCATCCTGAGTTAGGACGGCCCTTCTTGACCTTGTTAGGACGGCCCTTCTTGACCTTGTTAGGACGGCCCTTCTTGACCTTGTTAGGACGGCCCTTCTTGACCTTGTTAGGACGGCCCTTCTTGACCTTGTTAGGACGGCCCTTCTTGACCTTGTTAGAACCCGGTTAGAATATATGTAGTTCAGTACATATATTTGTTCATATGTAGTTTTGGACACTCTTATGTGTGTCACACGGGGCCCAGGGGTTACAGCTCGATCCTGCAGTCACACAGAGGTAAACTTGGCTATGTACGTGCACGCGCATGCGCACACACACGCGCGCGCACACACACACACACACACACACACACACACACACACACACACACACACACACACACACACACACACACACACACACACACACACAGTTGTGTTGTGTCAGTCGTGGTGGTTGGACGTGGGCTGGGAGCTCCTGGGTTACTAATGAAGTGGGAGGGATAATCAGGCTACTTCAAAGTGAAAAAGTGCATACGAGTGAATGAAAACTTGGAATTTGACTCAAACCGTAAGGAAGTGAAGAACGAAAGTAGAAATATTGTAATTGAAAATATTGGTGTTGAATGCATTGTGGCAGTGTGAAGAGTGGAGCAGAATTCACACTGACTGTGACCTCACAGCCTCAATCTGTGACCAACATGACCTCACCCCTGGCAGCAACCCTTACTACACCACGTGGGGGAGACGCCTGGAGACTTACTCGCCTATATTGTGTATAACAGATCTGTAAGGTACTTGGAACGCCTGTGGGTAAGATAGTTATAGCAATGACTAAATCAGGAATGGCATCTAGGTCCAGCAGTATTATAAATGAAGAAGAGGATAGGCTTGTTGAGAAGCTGATAGGGAAATTTGTAGAGAAGAGTGATGTTTGGATAGAGGATCTAATCCAAGGGATTAAAAGTGAGATCTTTAATAAAACACAGGACGAGGTTCAGAGACAAAAACAGGAGCTTATGGACTATATTTAGGAAGAAATCAGAAAGAGCAGGGTAGCATGGGAGAGTGAGATAACTAGGCTTGCAACTGAATTTGGCAGGAATAAGGGAAGCATGGCAAGGGAAAGGGAAGTAGTGGGGGATGGAGTAGTGAGTGTGGGAGGGGTGGGGAGTGACCAGCATGACAGTGCTTCACTGAGGAGGTGGACAATCATAAGCCATGGATTACTCAAAGCCGAGGCATCATCGAGGCAGGAAAGGATGGAGAGTGAAGACTTTGAGTTACAGGGGATCTTGAGAGATATTACAGCCGAGATGGCAAGGTATGTGGTGGAAATCCACCGCCGCATTGGGCCTTTCAACTGTAGCAAGAAACGACCTGTCCTGGTACAGTTCACTAACGAAGAGGCAGTGGATTATGTACTGCAACACAAACATTTACTCAGAGGTAGTGAAAACTATTATAACGTGTATATTGACAGATACATGACCAAAGATGAACAGATAGCCCACAGGGCGAGCCGACCTACATGACACAGCTCTTCCCATTCGAGCGTAGTTACCAACCCCACCCGTGCTAACCAGCCCACAACTGCTTCCCAGGTCAGATTTGGGGAGGCCCTGGTCCTCCCCAAATCAGCCCTCCTATCCCCCAACCCTGCTTATCTCCCCAACAACTCTCCTCTCCCCTCTGACCCCACTGCATTCAAATCCAACTGCCTCATCCCACATTGCAAGGACCCCCTCATCCCCTCAACTCCCAAAACCCTCCAGCCCTCACCCCTCCTCTGCCCCCTTCTTCCATGTGAACCCCTCCCCTTGTGAGGGGGGTCACATGGACCCCCTGTGGGGGTTGGGGGGACCCCCCACCTCTTCCTCCATTTCCCTCTTCCCCCTTTCTGCCCCAATGGTCACACCTACCCCTGAGTTCCCCCTGACTAATACAACCTCTCTCCCACTCTCACTATCCATGCTCCATGCTCTCCTCTTCCCCCCAACCTCTATCTGACTCCCAGCCTCACGCTACCTCTCAATCTTCCTATGCCTCTCATACCCTCCATAATTTTCAAACCTAGTATGCCCTTCCTACTCCAGACCTACCTACCCAGGCCTTACTATCCCTGACCTTACTATCCCTGACCTTACTATCCCCGACCTTCCTACCTACCTTCCTTCCTAGACGCCCAGACCCCATTCGCCCCCCCCCCCCAAGCACCCTCCAGACTCGATTCGCCTCCCAGACACTCCCCAGATCCCCCCAGCCCCCATTCACCCCCCAGACACCCTCCCACATCACCCCCCCCCCCCCCCCAGACCCCCAGAGAAAGGGTGAACTCTGGTACCTTGGTTTCCAAGAAGAGTCTCAAGGTTTGGTACATCAATGCTGATGGGGTATCTAATAAAGCAGAAGAGATAAAAGAAAGAGTGAGTGAGGAAGATCCTGACATAGTTGCAATAGTGGAAACTAAAATAAATGGCATGATCTCGGATGCAATCTTTCCTGAAGGGTACCAGGTGATAAGAAAAGAGAGGACACAGAGACAGGGATGAGGAGTGGCACTCCTAATAAGGCGGAAATGGAAGTTTGAAGACCTGGGAAATAGAGTTACCAATGAGTGCACAAGCTTCATACATGGAGCTCTGACAGTAGATGGGAGGAAGATTGTGATATTGGTAATCTACAATCCCCCACCAAACAGTAGAAGACCCAGGCAGGAGTATGATGACAACAACAAGGCATGTATAGATGAACTGCAGAAGGCAGCAACTTTAGCTCACAGAATGAGAGCGAAGCTGCTGATCATGGGGGACCTAAATCATGGATAGATAAATTGGGAATCAAGGAATCCCCTTGGAGGGGACGAAACATGGGGAGCAAAGTTAGTAGATGTTATAGACAGGAATTTCCTAACACTACATGTGAAGGCAGACACAAGAGAAAGAGATGCTCCGAGCCTATTAGACCTGATTTTTCACCCAGAACGTAGAAGGCATCGAGAATTTGGAACATGAAATACCTCTAGGGGCCAGTGACCAATGTGTCCTAGTCTTTGACTACATGATGGAATTCAAACTTGTGACCATGAGACAAGAGGTCTGGGAGAGTTGACTACAGGAAAGGGAACTACAGGAGGATAAGGGACTATCTGAGAGAAGTGCAGTGGGAGGAAGAAATTAGAGGAAAAACAGTTCAATATATGATGGACCTAGTCACACGGAAATGCCAGGAGGCCGAAGAGAGATTTATACCAACAGTAAAGGAAAAAAGTAAGAGGGAATATAATAACCCATGGTTTAATAGACAGTGTCAGGAAGCAAAAATGGCCAGCAGGCGGGAGTGGAGGAAGTACAGAAGACAATGGACAGAGGACAATAGGATCAGATGCAACAGAGCTAGGAACGATTACATTAACATAAGAAGAGCATCGGCAAAAAAATTATGAGAACGATATTGCGATCAAAGCGAGAAAGCAACCTAAATTACTACACAGTCATATAAGAAGAAAAATGTCGGTGAACGACCAAGTGACAGACTAAGGAAGACAGAGGGGGCATATACTGAAAGCGACAAGGAAATCTGCAAGGCACTGTATGCCAGTTTCCATGGAGTGTTCACTACCGAGCCTGAGCAGCTCCCATTGTTGGAAGAGATTACCCTAGATGAAAGACTATCAGATATAGAGGTGACAGCAGAGGAGGTAATGAAACAGTTGACAACACTGGATGCAACTAAAGCAGTTGGACCAGACAAAGTATCACCGTGGATACTAAAAGAGGCAGCGCAGGCCATCAGTCTGCCTCTGGCAAAGATCTTTAATGAATCACTTATGTCGGGTGAATTGCCCAATTGCTGGAAGAGGGCAAATGTCGTACCGATTTTCAAGAAAGGTGATAGGGAGGAGGCACTTAACTATAGACCTGTATCACTGACAAGCATCCCCAGTAAAATACTGGAAAGAATAATTAGGCTACGACTGGTTGCACACCTGGAGAACATTAGGTTTGTAAATAAACATCAACATGGGTTCTGGCAAGGGAAATCTTGCCTAACAAACCTTCTGGAAATCTATGATAAAATAAAGAGGATACGGCAAAACAGAAAAGGTTGGGCAAACTGCATATTTCTGGACTGCCAAAAAGCCTTTGATACAGTACCGCACATGAGACTACTGTTCAAACTTGAGAGGCAGGCGGGAGTAAGCGGAAAGGGCCTAGCATGGGCTAGAAACTACCTAACTGGAAGGAGCCAGAGAGTTATGGTAAGGGGCGAGAACTCGGACTGGCGAACGAGTGGAGTACCTCAAGGATCGGTGCTGGGACCAATTCTATTTCTAATATATGTTAACGACATGTTTACAGGAGTAGAATCCTACATGTTCGCGGATGACGCAAAGTTGATGAGAAGAGTTGTGACCGATGAGGATTGTAGAATCCTCCAAGAGAACTTAAACAGATTACAGAGATGTTCAGAGAAATGGTTACTGGAGTTCAACACGAGCAAATGTAAAGCTATGGAAATGGGACTAGGTGATAGGAGACCAAAGGGACAGTACACAATAAAGGGGAACAGCCTACCTGTGACGACGCGAGAGAGAAACCTTGGCGTGGACGAAACATCTAATCTAACTCCTGAGGCACATATAAATAGGATAACGACAGCAGCGTACTCTACACTAGCAAAAGTTACATCATTCAGACACCTAAGTAAGGAGGAATTTAGGGCGCTTTACACTGCCTACGTGAGGCCAGTCTTGGAGTATGCCGCCCCATCATGGAGTTCACACCTGAAGAAACACAAGAAAACTGGAAAAGCTTCGGAAGTTTGCAACAAGACTCGTTCCAGCGTTACGAGGGATGGGGTATGAAGAGCGCCTGAAGGAAGTGAGCCTTACGACACTAGAAAAAAGAAGGGGGGGAAATGATAGGAACGTATAAAATACTCAGGGGGATTGACAGAGTGGACATAGACGAAATGTGCACATGGAATAGTAACAGAACGAGGGGTCATGGGTGGAAGCTGGAAACTCAGATGAGTCACAGGGATGTTAGGAAGTTTTCTTCCATGTTAGAAGAGTTACGAGGAAAGGTTGCGTGAACTGCATCTCACGTCGCTGGAAGATAGAAGAGCTTGGGGAGACATGATCACCACATGCAAAATTCTCAGGGGAATTGACATGGTAGACAAGGATGGATTATTTAACATGGGTGGCACACGCACAAGGAACACAGGTGGAAACTGAGTACCCAAATCAGCCACAGAGACATTAGAAAGAACTTTTTCAGTGTCAGAGAAGTTAGTAAATGGAATGCACTAGGAAGTGACATGGTGGAGGCTGACTCCATACACAGTTTCAAATGTAGATATGATAGAGCCCAGTAGGCTCAGGAATCTGTACACCAGTTGATTGACAGTTGAATGGCGGGACCAAAGAGCCAGAGCTCAACACCCGCAAGCACAATTAGATGAGTACACTACACCAGCACCCAATGGTACCGGCTACCACAGGGGCTCTTCACAACGGGTCAGCATTCAAGAGCTCGTCTGGCCTTGCTTACTACGGCCGGCGTTGCCTCGTTTCATTAATGGCTCGTTGAACGAGTGGGTGGGAGAGCCATAATGATGCCAGGGGGCCCGAGTGGCCGTCCTGATTGACTTGCACAATGTTGAGCTTCGAGGATTGCAACCGGCCGGAAATGGGAGGGTTTCATGTGCTTTGGATTTGCTTTGAAATTTCGACGTGAATTGGATGCGATTTGTCTGGAGGCATTCAGGTCTGTTTGGAGGCATCAGGGCTGTTTGAATTTGATTGACTTTCAGGGTTTTAGGACCCTGAGTGGAGGGGAGGTGGGAGGGATGTTGTGGCTAAAGGCACCTTCATTAATGCTAATGGTGGATCCGTTGTCGTTATTAGTAGTTACACTATATTGCTGCATGTTTAACTACTATATACATCAGCATCCTATATCTGTGATATATGAGTTCCTACTCCATTTTCTATCTCTTGACTTTTACGCCCATAATGACAGTGGGTTTGTGAACACCTCGCTAGTCCGGTGGAGACCAGGGACCTCGCTAGTCCGGTGGAGACCAGGGACCTCGCTAGTCCGGTGGAGACTTGGGACCTCGCTAGTCCGGTGGAGACCTAGGACCTCGCTAGTCCGGTGGAGACTTGGGACCTCGCTAGTCGGGTGGAGACTTGGGACCTTGCTAATCCGGTGGAAACTTGGGACCTCGCTAGTCCGGTGGAGACCAGGGACCTCGCTAGTCCGGTGGAGACCAGGGACCTCGCTAGTCCGGTGGAGACCAGGGACCTCGCTAGTCCGGTGGAGACCAGGGACCTCGCTAGTCCGGTGGAGACCAGGGACCTCGCTAGTCCGGTGGAGACCAGGGACCTCGCTAGTCCGGTGGAGACCAGGGACCTCGCTAGTCCGGTGGAGACCAGGGACCTCGCTAGTCCGGTGGAGACCAGGGACCTCGCTAGTCCGGTGGAGACCAGGGACCTCGCTAGTCCGGTGGAGACCAGGGACCTCGCTAGTCCGGTGGAGACCAGGGACCTCGCTAGTCCGGTGGAGACCAGGGACCTCGCTAGTCCGGAGGAGACCAGGGACCTCGCTAGTCCGGAGGAGACCAGGGACCTCGCTAGTCCGGTGGAGACCAGGGACCTCGCTAGTCCGGTGGAGACCAGGGACCTCGCTAGTCCGGTGGAGACCAGGGACCTCGCCAGTCCGGTGGAGACCAAGGACCTCGCTAATCCGGTGGAGACTTGGGACCTCGCTAGTCCGGTGGAGACCAGGGACCTCGCTAGTCCGATGGAGACCAAGGACCTCGCTAATCCGGTGGAGACTTGGGACCTCGCTAGTCCGGTGGAGACCAGGGACCTCGCTAGTCCGATGGAGACCAAGGACCTCGCTAATCCTGTGGAGACTTGGGACCTCGCTAGTCTGGTGGAGACCAGGGACCTCGCTAGTCCGGTGGAGATCAGGGACCTCGCCAGTCCGGTGGAGATCAGGGACCTCGCCAGTCCGGTGGAGACCAAGGACCTCGTTAGTCCGGTGGAGACCAAGGACCTCGCTAGTCCGGTGGAGACCAAGCTCTCTCTCTCTCTCTCTCTCTCTCTCTCTCTCTCTCTCTCTCTCTCTCTCTCTCTCTCTCTCTCTCTCTCTGTCTCTGTCTCTCTCTCTCTCTCTCTCTCTCTCTCTCTCTCTCTCTCTCTCTCTCTCTCTCTCTCTCTCTCTCTCTCTCTCTCTCTCTCTCTCTCTCTCTCTCTCTCTCTCTCTCTCTCTCTCTCTCTCTCTCTCTCTCTCTCTCTCTCTCTCTCTCTCTCTCTCTCTCTCTCTCTCTCTCTCTCTCTCTCTCTATTTTTAGATTAGGCAAAGTAAATTACAAAATATGATTTAAAACACTAAAACTCTTTAAATACAACATTATACAACTCAAAATAGGATCCCTAACAACCTGTCCTCTGACAAATTACGCCTGAATTTGGCCGTTTGCCCGAATGGCCGATAATGGACGTAAATTAAAATAAATTTTTGGATTTTTTGTTTCTACAACAGCAAGTTGAGGGTCCACTGGTAGGTTAGGAGGGCAGGAAATTCTCCTAAGGCCTCAAAACCCTCATGAAAACCATCAATTGAATGTTTCCTCTCCTAACCTAACCGAGTAAGCCGGAGGACTCAAACAGAAAACGGGACAGTACATCACTTTCGTGAGCCGATTTCATTTAAAAATTACGTCTATTTTTGGCCATAGCGCGCATACGAGCGAAAAGCGACGTTATGTTTAAGAGGACGGGTTGCTCCGCGCCCCGCCCCATCCCTCCAACATCTAGATTCTTGACCCATACCTTGAAGACGAGTCTCGCAAGTGGTTCAATTTCCATCACCTGGAAGGGGTCGCAGGAGGCGCTGGACGCCATTAATCCCGTCCATGTTGAGCCGGTCAGCCCGCCTTGGGCATGCATAATTCTTAATGGAAACATTGATGAGGCGATCAGATAATTCCTTTGGGGGGGATGTCTTGAAGATGCTGCGGAGGAAGATTAATTGGATGCGGTGTAGGGAGGCTGCTGGTCTTCCTGGAAGGAGGCTGCTGGTCTTCCTGGAAGGAGGCTGCTGGTCTACCTGGAAGGAGGCTGTTGATCTTCCTGGAAGGAGGCTGTTGATCTTCCTGGAAGGAGGCTGTTGATCTTCCTGGAAGGAGGCTGTTGATCTTCCTGGAAGGAGGCTGTTGATCTTCCTGGAAGGAGGCTGTTGATCTTCCTGGAAGGAGGCTGTTGATCTTCCTGGAAGGAGGCTGTTGATCTTCCTGGAAGGAGGCTGTTGATCTTCCTGGAAGGAGGCTGTTGATCTTCCTGGAAGGAGGCTGTTGATCTTCCTGGAAGGAGGCTGTTGATCTTCCTGGAGGGAGGCTGTTGATCTTCCTGGAGGGAGGCTGTTGATCTTCCTGGAGGGAGGCTGTTGATCTTCCTGGAGGGAGGCTGTTGATCTTCCTGGAAGGAGGCTGTTGATCTTCCTGGAAGGAGGCTGTTGATCTTCCTGGAAGGAGGCTGTTGATCTTCCTGGAAGGAGGCTGTTGATCTTCCTGGAAGGAGGCTGTTGATCTTCCTGGAAGGAGGCTGTTGATCTTCCTGGAAGGAGGTTGCTGGTCCTCGTGGAGTTACTCCGAAATTCTTAAAAAAAAAAGCGGGGATCGCGTCACGCCACACAGGAGGAAATAAAGCAGAGGCAAAACATTTTAGGCCAATAACACTTTCACACATCACAAAATTCTTTGAAGGAGTGCTAAGAAGTAAGATCGCGAAAAGCAAAGAATCAAGGAATCTCCACAACAAGCAAAAGGCTGATGTAATATTCACAGATTTTCCAAAAGGCCTCGGCAAATAGGAGCCGGTCGGCCGAGCGGACAGCACGCGGGACTTGTGATCCTATGGTCCTGGGTTCGATCCCAGGCGCCGGCGAAAAACAATGGGCAGAGTTTCTTTCACCCTATGCCCCTGTTACCTAGCAGTAAATTAGGTACCTGGGTGTTAGTCAGCTGTCATATGCTGCTTCCTGGTGGTGGAGGCCTGGTCGAGGACCGGGCCGCGGGGACACTAAAAAGCCCCGAAATCATCTCAAGATAACCTCAAGATGGTGTTATTGCAAGCAAAATGCGCTCAACAGGGAAGGAAGATGGATCATTACTGGCCTAACGAACAGAATGCAGAGTGTAATAGTCGGCAAAGTAAATTACGGATCATCCACTGTGAAAAGCTCAGTCCCCCAGGGTACTGTGGGCACGCTCCAGTACTCTCTCATCCTCATATCGCACATAGACAAGAACACGAACTATAGTACTGTATGCAGACGGTACCGTATAGTACTGTATCATCCTTTGCAGATGACACAAGGATTTGTATGAGAGAGGACAACATAGCGGACACAGCAAACCTCCAATCTGATGGTAATGAGGGCCACAGAAAACAATATGATGTTTAATGAGGATGAGCTTCAGCTCCTACGAAAACAAAGCCAAATCGCACAATAGAAAGGAAAAGTAATGTAAAGATTTGGGAGTAATCATGTCAGAAGACCTTCACAGTACACCATACAGTAGCCGTCACGACTGCAAGACAAATGACAGGTTGGATAACAAGGACCTTCCAAGCAAGGGACGCCATACCAATGATGATACTTTTTAAGACACTAGTGCTCTCTAGGGTTGAATATTGTTGCATCCTAACAGCCCCATTCAAACCAGTTGTTGACGACCTGGAGAATGGACAGGAACAATTTTCTGTCCAAATCCATTCAAAAAACATCTAAATTATTGAAAATGGTTAAAATTCTTTAATCTGTATTCTCTAGAGCGCTGGGGAGAGAGAGAGATACATAATAATTTATTCTTAGAAAGTCACAATAACGTGGCTAAAGTATGTTGACCGGACCACACACCAGAAGGTGAAGGGACGACGAATGGTCAAGGACGGACCGAAACGTCGTCGTCCCTTCACCTTCTAGAGTGTGGTCTGGTCAACTTACTCTTAGAAAATTGTAGAAGGACTGGCCCCAAATCTGCACACAGAAACAACATCACACGAGACCAGGAGGCATGGTAGGATGTGCAGAATATCTTGAAGAGCAGAGGTGCAATAGGTACGCTGAGGGGGGGGGGGGGGAACTGTCAACATCAGAGGCCCGAGACATTTTAACACACTCCTTCTAAAATGTGTTCGAGAGAGAACTTATTAAACACCTCCAAAGGATACCTGATCAACATAATAGACTGTAATTCAGACGGCAGTTTACGAGCAGTGACAACGTCTAACAGCCTGGTTGACCAGAACACCAACCAAGAGGCCTGGTCAGAGACCGGGGCCGCGAAGACACTGATTCCCGGAACCAACAAGAGGTTAAGTCCTTTCTTAAGCAAGACCTGTTTAGGGGTGAGGGGTGGGAGTATGGCTAGTGGATGGAAAGGTGGAGGGGGGGGGAGTTCCTTTTGTCACCCTATTCCGATACTCATTGGTGCTTACAGGAAGGGGGGGGGGGTGGAGGGTTTAGGGAGGGAGTTGGGGGTCTGGGGTGGGGGTTAGGTGGTCTTGGGGGAGGGGTATGGGGGGGTCTTAGGAAGAATGTAGAGGAGTAGAGGGGGATGGGACTATTTAAAATATATTCACCTGCCTGGGGGGGGGGGGGGGGGTCGAAAGTACTTAATACTTTTATGTTCTTTTATAGTGCGGATGTGATTAACCTGTCATGTTGATGGGATATGATCACTACATCGAAGATATTAACGAGAGCTTAATGTAATCTCTTTTTTCGCTAGGCTTTATTAATCTGAATTAATCTCCAATAATCCTTGTAGGGTATTAATGCTCACGTTCACGATGGTGTGTGTGTGTGTGTGTGTGTGTGTGTGTGTGTGTGTGTGTGTGTGTGTGTGTGTGTGTGTGTGTGTGCGCGCGCGCGTGTACTCACCTAATTGTGTTTGCGGGGTTGAGCTCTGGCTCTTTGGTCCTGCCTCTCAACTGTCAATCAACTGATGTACAGATTCCTGAGCCTATTGGGCTCTATCATATCTACATTTGAAACTGTGTATGGAGTCAGCCTCCACCACATCACTTCCTAATGCATTCCATCTGTTAACTACTCTGACACTGAAAAAGTTCCTTCTAACGTCTCTGTGGCTCATGTGGGTACTAAGTTTCCACCTGTGTCCCCTTGTTCGCGTCCCACCAGTGTTGAATAGTTTATCCTTGTTTACCCGGTCGATTCCTCTGAGGATTTTGTAGGTTGGGATCATGTCTCCCCTTACTCTTCTGTCTTCCAGTGTCGTAAGGTGCATTTCCCGCAGCCTTTCCTCGTAACTCATGCCTCTTAGTTCTGGGACTAGTCTAGAGGCATACCTTTGGACTTTTTCCAGCTTCGTCTTGTGCTTGACAAGGTACGCGCTCCATGCTGGGGCCGCATACTCTAGGATTGGTCTTACATATGTGGTGTACAAGATTCCGAATGATTCCTTACACAGGTTCCTGAACGCTGTTCTGATGTTAGCCAGCCTCGCATATGCCGCAGACGTTATTCTTTTTTATGTGGGCTTCAGGAGACAGGTTTGGTGTGATATCAACTCCTAGATCTTTCTCTCTGTTCGTTTCATTAAGTACTTCACCTCCTATTCTGTATCCTGTGTCTGGCTCCTATTTCCACTGCCTAGTTTCGTTACTTTGCATTTACTCAGGTTGAACTTCAACAGCCATTTGTTGGACCATTCACTCAGTCTGTCTAGGTCATCTTGTAGCCTCCTACTATCGTCCTCAGTTTCAATCCTCCTCATAATTTTTGCATCATCGGCAAACATTGAGAGAAACGATTCTATACCCTCTGGGAGATCATTTACATATATCAGAAACAGTATAGGTCCAAGGACTGACCCCTGCGGGACTCCACTCGTAACGTCTCGCCAATCTGAGATCTCACCCCTCACACTGACTCGTTGTCTCCTGTTGCTTAGGTACTTCTGTATCCAACGGAGTACCTTCCCTTTCACTCCAGCCTGCATCTCCAGCTTTTTCACTAGCCTCTTGTGTGGCACTGTATCAAAGGCTTTCTGACAATCCAAAAATATGCAGTCTGCCCACGCTTCTCTTTCTTGCCTTATTTTTTGTTGCCTGGTCGTAGAATTCAAGTAACCCTGTGAGGCAGGATCTGCCATCCCTGAATCCATGTTGATGCTGTGTTACAAAGTTCTTTCGTTCCAGATGCTCCACTAGCTTTCTTCGCACAATCTTCTCCATCAGCTTGCATGGTATGCAGGTTAGGGACACTGGCCTGTAATTCAGTGCCTCCTGTCTATCCCCCTTCTTGTATATCGGGACTACGTTAGCTGCTTTCCAAATTTCTGGCAGTTCCCCTGTTGCCAGTGATTTGTTATACACTATGGAGAGTGGCAGGCACAGTTCTTCTGCTCCTTCCTTTAGTTGTGTGTGTGTACTCACCTAGTTGTGTTTGCGGGGGTTGAGCTCTGGCTCTTTGGTCCCGCCTCTCAACCGTTGGTCCCGCCTCTCAACCGTGGTGTGTGTGTGTGTGTGTGTGTGTGTGTGTGTGTGTGTGTGTGTGTGTGTGTGTGTGCGCGCGCGCGCGCACTTACGTGTGAGATGTTTACTACATTGTTTCTTCTTTGTGTAAAAGTGGCTGTCTTGTTTGTGCTGTAATTGGCGAGAGGGTTAATCACAAGTCGTGGGGGGGAGGGGGGGAAGGTAAGGGGGGAGGGGAGTGAATAAAGGGGGATGGTTGTTCGACCATTACCACCATCGATCTGCCCTTCTCTATTAGCATAATCCATATCACCATTACTCTATTGTTCCTCCAATGGAGCGTCCTTGCCACCCCCCCCCCTTCCTCCCTTCCTCCACCTCCCCCTCCTCCGTCTCACTCCATTGACTCCCAGTGGTCTCTCTCTCTCTCTCTCTCTCTCTCTCTCTCTCTCTCTCTCTCTCTCTCTCTCTCTCTCTCTCTCTCTCTCTCTCTCTCTCTCTCTCTCTCTCTCTCACCCCCTCTCACCCCCTCTCACCCCCCCTCCCCACACTTCCCTACACCTCCTGTCAACCCAAACTTCAACTCCATCTATCATCAATCCACGAATGTCTCCAACCATCCATCCAACTCCTTCAACCAGACTGTTGAAACACCACGAATGAGCCGAAGGAATGTAAGGAAGTACTCGGACTATATAAGGATGGGGGGGGGGGGGACTGAAGGAAGAAGTTATGGTGGCAACAGTGACAGGTGTGTGGACAGTGGCAACAGTCACAGGTTTTCAGACAGTGACAGGTGTGCAGACAGTGACAGGTGTGTGGACAGTGACAAAAGTGACAGGTGTGCAGATAGTGACAGGTGTGTGGACAGTGACAAAAGTGACAGGTGTGCAGACAGTGACAGCTGTGAGGACAGTGACAACAGTGACAGGTTTTCAGACAGTGACAGGTGTAAGGACAGTGCCAACAGTGACAGGTGTGAGAACAGTGGCAACAGTGACAGGTGTGCAGACAGTGCCAACAGTGATATATAATCCCCCACCAAACAATAAAAGGCCTATAAACAGAACTTGGGGCCTCACACACATGGGGGTCAGCAGTTAGTCTCCTACAGCCCAGATGAATGCAATAGAAGGGCAGGGAAGAATACGACAGATGCCATGACAACTGTCTCAAGGTGACGGAACAATCAGCCTCAGTAGCAAGGGGGAACAAGGGCTAGAATCCTAATACTGGGGTCTAAAGGTGACGGAACAATCAGCCTCAGTAGCAAGGGGGAACAAGGGCTAGAATCCTAATACTGAGGGACTTCAACCACAGGGAAATAGACTTAGTAAACAAGACTCACCCGCGGGGGTGACGAGACATGGAGAGCAAAACTGGTAGACGCCGCAGACAAACACTTCTCAGAGCAACGTGTCATACAACACTTTGCGTCGACACTCTGCGTCGACGGACTGCGTCGACACTCTGCTTCGACACAGTGCGTCGACAGACTGCTCCGACACACTGCGTCGACAGACTACTCCGACACTGCGTCGACGGACTGCGTCGACACTCTGCGTCGACAGACTGCTCCGACACTCTGCGTCGACGGACTGCTCCGACACACTGCGTCGACGGACTGCTCCGACACTGCGTCGACAGACTGCTCCGACACACTGCGTCGACACACTGTGTCTTCTGGCCTCTTTTTTCTTCTTCTACACCTGATGCCTCTGTTCACTTAGTAGTATATAAGGTACCTAGGAGTTAGGCAACTGTTGTGGGATTGGTAGTTAACTCGTGGGGGGGTGGAGCGGAGGAATCCTTGATAGGCCTAACTGCTCCTCTGTTTGTAAGTTCTTCCACCTTTCTCTTCCTTTCTCTTATTCCTTCTTTTCCCCCTTACGTACTTTTTTTCTGGATTTTCAACATTATTTTCCGTCTAATTTTCATTCTCTTCTTTCCCCCTTCCCTTATGGCATTTATCTTCGGCCTGTTTTCCCCCAATTTTCCTCTACCCCTTTTCTTCTTTTCCTCTCCCTATCTTCCTACGTTCTGTTTTGTTCATTCTTTCTTATTCTCTTCTGCTTTCTTATTCTCTTCTGCTTTCTTATTCTCTTCTGCTTTCTTATTCTCTTCTGCTTTCTTATTCTCTTCTGCTTCCATCTCCAATTGTTATTTTCTCCTCTTTGTCTTATGACCTTCTCTCTTCGTCTTTCTCCTCTTCCTCTTTCTCTATCTCTAGATCATTCTCCTCTTTCTCTTCCTCCTCTTCCTCATGTATATTTAGTTACTGTTATCTTTTCTCGTGTCGCTTCCTCTCCCTACTTGGTTAATGCCCCCCTATTCCCTCCCTCTTTTTATAGACTTTCTCCTCCTCCCCTTCCATTCAATATTTTCTGCTCCGATTCCTGCACTCTCTCTCTCTCTCTCTCTCTCTCTCTCTCTCTCTCTCTCTCTCTCTCTCTCTCTCTCTCTCTCTCTCTCTCTCTCTCTCTCTCTCTCTCTCTCTCTCCCCCCCCCCCCTCCCTCCCTCCCCCCCCCCTTCCACACTCTACCTTCACCCTCATCCTGCCCTCCCATATACTTCCCTTTCTGTCTCACTTTCCCTTCGCCTCCACTAATCCTTACTCGTTCTCCACCCCTCACTCTATTCCTCCCTCTTCCTTCTCCATTGTTACACTGACCCCCTTTTATCATCGCTCCACTTACTTCTCCCCCCTTCCACATTTTTTTCCAGAGCCAACCTGTGTACATCCTCGTCTGTCCCACACAGTCTGGGGTTAGGGAGCTGTCCTCCTGTTGTGAGATGGGGGTGAGGGGGGGTTGTGAGGAGATGGGGTGAGGGGGGGTTGTGAGGGAGAAGGTAATGGGTGTGAGGGAGTGTTGTCAAGGAGGAAGACTATTGGGATGAGGGAGTATTATAATAGAGGTTGACCGTGTGTCTGACCTGAGGAAGTCATGGAAGATGAGTTTGACGGTCTGATCAAGCAAGCTGTTGGTAGCCAGCTTGTCCTCATAATAAAAGGCCCAAAGTCCATTCCATGTACCCGCCAAACACCCCGTCTGTTGGTGAATGAAAAACGTTGACACACGACTCACAACTAATGACTTTCGAATATTTTTCGAACAGTGCTTCGCTGAAGACTTTTGTTCGAACCACAACGCTGTAAATGCTTCACCCACGTACTACAAATAATCGCCAACAGAACCTAAACACCGAACATACCCAATGCCTAAATATACTCAGAAAATGCTAATACATGACAATATTCATTTATATTTGAGAAATTTCTGTCTTGAATGAACAGCATGTTAAAATTGTTGAATATGTCTTATGGGGTCGACCGCTGGATGGAATTGAACGCTACAACGGTTGTGGTCTGAGGACGGGTTGTGGTAGCCGCTGCTCGCAGTCGGACGGAGGAACCGAAGAATTTATAAATTGATATCCATTGATATCCATTTATCCATTTATCTTGAGTACAGTTTGAGGTTTGTTAAGTTATGCCTCTTTTGTTTAAGGGTGTTGAATCCTGTCGTTTCTCGAGGTTTACGAAGTCTCTGTGTACGTATTGGTTCCTAACCTTCACTGAAGGACAACCCTACCTCACACTAGGTTGGTTAAAGCAGCGGCCATCCTCCCTACACGCATTTTAACATACTGTGTATTAAAAATTGGTTTGTTCTCGTATATTAATTAATATTGTTATACATAATTCTATGTTTAGTTAGGCGAAGGTTGGGTTAGGTGTTTAGGTTCTGTTGGCGATTATTTGTAGTACGTGGGTTAAGCATTTATGGAACTGTGGTTCGAACAGAGGACGTGTTCGGAAGCACTTGTTCCGGAAGTGTTCGGAAGCACTTGTTCCGGAAGTGTTCGGAAGCACTTGTTCCGGAAGTGTTCGGAAGCACTTGTTCCGGAAGTGTTCGGAAGCACTTGTTCCGGAAGTGTTCGGAAGCACTTGTTCCGGAAGTGTTCGGAAGCACTTGTTCCGGAAGTGTTCGGAAGCACTTGTTCCGGAAGTGTTCGGAAGCACTTGTTCCGGAAGTGTTCGGAAGCACTTGTTCCGGAAGTGTTCGGAAGCACTTGTTCCGGAAGTGTTCGGAAGCACTTGTTCCGGAAGTGTTCGGAAGCACTTGTTCCGGAAGTGTTCGGAAGCACTTGTTCCGGAAGTGTTCGGAAGCACTTGTTCCGGAAGTGTTCGGAAGCACTTGTACCGGAAGTGTTCGGAAGCACCTGTTCCGGAAGTGTTCGGAAGCACTTGTACCGGAAGCGTTCGGAAGCACTTGTTCCGGAAGTGTTCGGAAGCACCTGTTCCGGAAGTGTTCGGAAGCACTTGTACCGGAAGTGTTCGGAAGCACTTGTACCGGAAGACGTCATCAGTTGTGAGTCGTCTGTAAACCGCTTTTCATTCATAAACAGGTGGTTTGGCGGCTGCATTAACGAGCTTGGATCTTTGCATGCGAGGACATGTTGTGAAGCGAAGGATAGTGTCTCTTTGTCTCGCTCAAGGTGGTTGATCTGTGAAACCAATTCCCGGGTAACATAATTGGCGTGGGGCCAATTATGCATATAATTGTATACATGTATCATTCATGTATCAACATATACATGAAAGAGTTAGGGTGCATATTTATAGGAGTTGCCTTATACGAGTCAATAAACCTTCAGCAGTTCACTTAATTCTTATGGTCTTAAAATTGTTATGAATTGTTTCAGCAGGCAGGTTGGAACGAGTTAGTTCTCTCTCTCTCTCTCTCTCTCTCTCTCTCTCTCTCTCTCTCTCTCTCTCTTTCTCCCCCCCTCCCTCTCTCCCCCTCCCTCTCCCTCCCTCCCCCTCTCCCTCCCTCCCTCTCCCTCCCTCCCTCTCCCTCCCTCCCTCCCTCCCTCCCTCCCTCCCTCTCTCTCTCTCTCTCTCTCTCTCTCTCTCTCTCTCTCTCTCTCTCTCTCTCTCTCTCTCTCTCTCTCTCTCTCTCTCTCTCTCTCTCTCTCCTCCCCTGTGCTTCAGCGATTATAATCTGAGGGATTAGAGAATTCTCAATGATTTTGACATTTTATTAATAAGTTTTGAGAAGTCAATATATGTTCCCTGCGGGTTGTCCGGGTCAGCAGCTTACATTATTATACACGAGATGACAACGAAGAAGTTAAACATGATACCACGAGAAATGAGGCACAAGTATCTTGAGGACATTTATAAAGATACCGGAAATGAATGGCACAATATCTACACTGATGGGTCGTCTAATCCCACCAATGGCAAGGCTGGATTGTTGTTGTTATAGATTCAGCTTCTGGGAACAAGTTCCAAGTAGCACGGGCTATGGTGAGCCCGTGGCAAGACTGGAGCAGTATACGCTGTAATTAGGAATAATGCCTTTCAAAACGCAAGTGAAGGAAAAGCAAGTATTGAGAATTAGGCTTCCTCAACGCAAGTCCACTGCGGGCTCACCATAGCCCGTGCTACTTGGAACTCTTTGTTCCAAGTAGCAAATCTTAAATACAAGAACTCATCGCAAGTAGAGCTAACTGCCATTGTTATGGCGTTATGATTTCTTCAAAGAAACTCTCATTGTGCAGTGATCTACTTTGATTCACAGGCAGCACTGCAAAGCCGGTGTGGTGGAAGTGTACCACTGGTGACTGTGTAAGTGTACCGCTGGTGACTGTGTGATTGTACCGCTGGTGACTGTGTAAGTGTACCGCTGGTGACTGTGTGAGTGTACCACAGGTGACTGTGTAAGTGTACCACAGGTGACTGTGTGATTGTACCGCTGGTGACTGTGTAAGTGTACCGCTGGTGACTGTGTAAGTGTACCGCTGGTGACTGTGTAAGTGTACCGCTGGTGACTGTGTGAGTGTACCGCTGGTGACTGTGTGAGTGTACCGCTGGTGACTGTGTGAGTGTACCGCTGGTGACTGTGTGACTGCACCGCTGGTGACTGTGTGACTGCACCGCTGGTGACTGTGTGAGTGTACCGCTGGTGACTGTGTGTGTGTACCGCTGGTGACTGTGTGTGTGTACCGCTGGTGACTGTGTGTGTGTACCGCTGGTGACTGTGTGTGTGTACCGCTGGTGACTGTGTGTGTGTACCGCTGGTGACTGTAAGTGTACCGCTGGTGACTGTGTGAGTGTACCGCTGGTGACTGTGTAAGTGTACCGCTGGTGACTGTGTGAGTGTACCGCTGGTGACTGTGTGAGTGTACCGCTGGTGACTGTGTGAGTGTACCGCTGGTGACTGTGTGAGTGCACCGCTGGTGACTGTGTGAGTGTACCGCTGGTGACTGTGTGTGTGTACCGCTGGTGACTGTGTGTGTACCGCTGGTGACTGTGTGTGTGTACCGCTGGTGACTGTGTGTGTGTACCGCTGGTGACTGTGTGTGTGTACCGCTGGTGACTGTGTGTGTGTACCGCTGGTGACTGTGTGTGTACCGTTGGTGACTGCGTGTGTATACCGCTGGTGACTGTGTGTGTGTACCGCCGGTGACTGTGTGAGTGTACCGCTGGTGACTGTGTGACTGTACCGCTGGTGACTGTGTGACTGTACCGCTGGTGACTGTGAGAGTATACCGCTGGTGACTGTGTGTGTGTACCGCTGGTGACTGTGTGTGTGTACCGCTGGTGACTGTGTGTGTGTACCGCTGGTGACTGTGTAAGTGTACCGCTGGTGACTGTGTGTGTGTACCGCTGGTGACTGTGTGTGTGTACCGCTGGTGACTGTGT